TGGAAAATGCACAAGTTGGATGTCAAAACATGACAAATGAGAACTCTAATTATTAGAAAATCTGAGTGAACCTTTTATACATAAGTAGCATTTCTTTCAACAACCCTCTCCTTTTCTCCCCAAATCTGAAATTGTGTGTTAAGATAAATTTTCTATTTGGTCTTCCAAATTTTCTAAATTTATAAAAAGTCTTCTGTTTCTATTTCTGGAATCCTGGTATGGCACTGTAGAATAAATGCTGGACTGCTAACCACAAGGTTGGTGGTTCAAACCCACCAGCCTCTCCCCGGAAACCCTATGTAGGGTCTCTATGAGTCTGAATCAAAGTTAACAACAACAATGATTTTTATTTCTAATTAAGTACTGTTTCCACCAATATTTGTTTATGGTTAGCAGATGCCAGCTATGTTCTTTTTCCTTTATAAATTCTCGCTTTAGGATCTAAAACATTGTCAAAGAATTATAACAAATCTATCTTTTTTTCCTTTGAAGGAAGGAGACCTTTCATTTGTGCATTCATTAAGGAAACAATTTGTGAATTTTTACTGTACAACAACCCTGTGCTTGTCACTTGAGAAGAATCAAATACTAATCTCATTCTTTTGTTTACATTTCTGATTAAAATGTCCTTGGTCCTAAGCATTTCTCTCCCCACAATAGTTTCTTCCACAAGGCACCACTAGTCTACCCTTTTACGTGCAGAACAAGTATGGCAGAGTAAAATGAGTCTCTGGGAAAAAACATGTTTCCCTCACTTCATGCACCCTAGAAAGTTAAGAGCAGTTTGTGATTCTAAAAGGCAGTTCATGTTGACTCATTACTAGCTTTTCATTTGTGTTGCTGAACATACCAAGAGAAAAACACCAGTAGGTCATCTGGCACATAATTTGTTTTAAAGTAAATTCATAGACATATACAAAGGTGAGTCAAAAATTATCTGCATTACAGTTATATTCAAACTGACATACATGGCTGATGACAACATGGAGTGTACATGTGATATGATTCCATGGAATAGACGAGTGGCGGTGAATTAGGTGGCAAATCATTTGTAAATCAGCCATGGCTCTGCTTATGAAATAATCCACGACAGACTTGGGTTTTGAAAAGTTTGTGTGAAATGGGTACCAAAACAACTCACCAAAGAGCATCAACAGAAGCATTTGGACATCTGCAAACAAAATTTGGACTGATAATGGAAAGAAGGTAAAAGTTTCTTAAAAAACTTGTTACTGGTGACGAGACCTGGATTCATCACTACGAGCCTGAGAGTAAACAGCAGCGTATGGAATAGAAACATCCTCAATCGCTGACCAAGAAAAAGAAAAAGTTCAAGAGTCAACTGTCGGTTGGAAAATTGATGCTTACAGCTTTCTGGAGTTCTCAAGGACCAATATTGGAAGACTATCAGGAAAAAGGTTTAACAATCCACCGTGCTCCACCATGCTCAACACAGTGAGGTACTCACTGTGTGAAGCCTAAACGTCAGATTCAATGCAGAGGACTGCTCTCCAAGGGCATTGTGATCTTGCATGACAATGCACATCCATGCACCTGTGGCCACACTGCTGACACTGCAGAAATTTCATTTTTAGGTGTTAAAGCATCCTCCCTATAGTCCTGACCTTGCTTCCTTGGACTTGCACCTGTTTGGTCCCCTGAAAGCAGCCCTTTGAGGACAAAGATTTGCCTCTGATGAAGAAATGAAGACAGCAGTGCCTTCGTGGCTCTCTAATGTTGCTGTTCTTCCTACTGACACTAAATGAGAAAACATTGACAGCATTGAGTTTTTCCAAGGTTTGACCACAGAAGAAACCTTCAGACACCATTATATACAATTCTTAGAATCCTGCTTTATTTTCCTATGCCATTAAAAAAATAAATAAATAAAATAAAAAATATTCAAACAAACATAATAATTATAGAAAATGTTAGGAAATACCCATAATCAAATAGAAAGTTAATGTCACTTGAGTTCTTACTGCAGAATAGACCTTTGACAACATTTTTATTATACAGCCTTGCAGACTTCTCTTCATGCTTTGGTGCATGTGTATAACATATGATTTGCCAGGATATAAATAGTCATATAATTTATTTTTAAAGAAACTGGACTTTACCTACTCTGGGATGTATAATCTTTCTTTTCTTTTCCACTTAACGGAACATTATTCATTTAACCCCACCTTTAAATGATGACAAAGGAAACTGCAGAATGTCCTCTACTCTCTCTCTTGTTTTGGATGTGTAACAAAATGTATACCCCCACTGTGCAGCCAGTCTCACTTCATGATATACTGTATCTCATGTAGCTGAAAAATCACTGTATTCCGGCCAGTGTACCTCATGTGTGGCCACTGCGTCATCGGCGGAGGTTGGGATGCCCAGCAGATTTCAGTGGAGCTTCTAGACCAAGAGAGAAGAGGCTGCCTTGGGCTTGTGAAGCCAGCCAGTGAAAACCTTGTGCTTATGGGGATGACCCAGGACCTGGGCAGGGTTTCATTCTGCTGTGCATGGGGTCACCACGAGTCGGGGCTGATGCCACAACAGCTAACAACCACAACGTTACATAGAAACTGCATCCCACCTGTTAGTCTCCAGTAAAAGTGTATGGATCTGTTCTTCGAGAAATCAGGGGGATGAGGCAGAGTCGGGAGATGCCTGACTGATGATGTGGGATTCAGAATAAGATAGTTTTGTCCGAACATGGGAGTGTGAGGTGGGTTTGTACGGGAGAGACGTGCAGTACAGGAAGCTCAGGGAGAGGGGGAAGCCACTGGTCACAGGGAAAATTCAAGGAAAGCATGAAGGTAGGAGACTAACTGTAAGGCATAACTGTTCATCTTAGGAAGTTGAGAAAGATTTTTAAAGCTAACGGTTAGTGCTCACAAAGGAAAAGTGAGATACGGCACCATCACTCTGCTTGGTTGTTGGTAAGTGCCGTGGAGTCGGTTCCGACTCACAGCGACCCTGTTTAGGGTTTCAGAGGAGTGGCTGGTGGGTTTGAACCACCAACCCTGCAGTTAGCAGTCCAGTGTTTATCTTACAGGCCACACCAGGACTCCTCAGTTTACTCCACTGAGAAGCCTAATTCGCACAGCTTTTGTTTTATCCTTAATTTGGACTTGCCTTAAAGTTGCTGGTTCTCAACCTTTTGGTCACCATTTACTCCTCTTTCCAAATTCTTTACTTCCCTAAATTGGGAAGCCCAGAACTCCATTGAAGAGCTCAAGGAGCTCTGGTAGCGTAGTGGTTCGAATCGGGCTGCTAACCTCAGGATCAGCAGTTTGAAACTACCAGCTGTTCCACGGGAGAAAGATGAGGCTTTCTGCTCCTGTTTGGAAACCCTGTACAGGGTCGCTATGAGTCAGAACTGACTCCACAGCACATAACAACAACAACAACAACAACAAAGACTCCATCGAAGAGTTCTGGTGGCACCGAGGTTAAGTGCTTAGCTGCCAAACAAAAGGTCGGCTGTGTGAATGCACCTGGCAGGCTGCTCCTATAGAAAACCCCGGGGAGCAGCTCTGTCCCGTGGAGTGGGAATCTGCTGACTGCAGAAGTTGTGGTTTGGGTAGTGAAAAGTCGCAGAGCCTTCCCTAGGATTTGGCAGGCCAGTGATCTGTTAAAATCCAAGGTCCCAGGTGCCTAGACTCAGGATTGTTGCAGAATGTAGGATATTCAAATTGCCATGTTTTTCAGTCACAACTTCATAATGTGCTGTGAGTTACTTGCCAACACCTCTAACCTACTGACTTTATCCTCCACTAATAAAATGGGGCAAAAAGATGCTTGGGTTTAAGAAGCTGACCTCCCACTGGACTGGGGCTTCCAGGGCCCCCAGCTCATCCTCAGGCCTGCTCTCTAACCTGTCACACAGACCTCTGGGTGTTGGCCTGACTTCAAAGGTAACACCTCATGGGTGAAGAAAACAGATAAAGGCAAAGGAATAATAAGGTGGCCATAAATCTAAAAAGCAAGTTTCTTGGCATTATCATTTCTCACTCATTTTCAGTTTTTTGGTGTGTGTATTTTTAAGATCCTTTTAAAGAACTCTGAAGTGCTTTACACTTTGACATGCTGTGCTTGGTGTTAAAAAGCTGGTAGGCTGGACTTGAAACAGGAAGAGAGGGTAAGGGCTGGAGCTTCTGCAAGTACGGGCTGGTTACTTGGTGGCCCTGGCTGTTCGCTGGGACTAGGGCTGGGCTGGGGGGTAAGAGGGGAGGGTGCATCTGACCCCCCTAGACTGGTTACCTGTCCCCAGATGCCCTCACCTCTAAGCAGCATTCCCACCAATGCACACTGTCAGGCACACAGAGCCTCAGGAAGAAAGTGAAACAGGCTTTATAAAAATTCACCGGGGATTACAGCAAAACCACTCATCGAGGACTATTAAGCCTAATAGATTATTGCGTGAGTCTATACAAATGAGCTTTCTGAGATGATTCTCTCTAAGACATACTATGTTCTATTAAGGAGTTCTGGTGACACAGTGGTGAAGCCTTTGACTGTTAACCCAGAAGGTCTGGGGTCTGAGCTTCTCCTATAAAAACGACAGCCTAGGAAAGCCTCCGGGCCGTTCTGCTATGTTGGATAGTGTCAGTAGATGACACACAGCAGCGCAATGTTTGGTTTGCACTGATGCTATTGACCACTCAGGTCCCCGGATGGCACAGATGACTTGTGCGCCACTACAAACCCACCAGCTACGCCTCAGAAACCCTATACAGGGTCGCTATGAGTTGAAACCAACTCAGCGGCACTTAACAACAACTGACCTAAAGGTTAGCAATGTGAGCCCACCCAACAGTACCACCAAAGGCTTGGTGTTCTGCCTTTGTAAAGAGGATGGCCAAAAAAGCCCCTGTGGATCACTGCATGAATTGGAACCAATGGCATGATGGCAGCAGGTTTGGTGTGGAGAAAAAGGTGATGAGAAACAAAGGCATAGTAAAGCCTCTTGTTAACATGTCGGAATGTGTTGTTTCACCCTGCAGATTTAACCCAGGACACATCCTGTAAAGAAAATTGTATGTGTTCCTCATGCTCACTCCAGGCCCCCACCATAAGTGACTTGCTCAATGACCAGGATGTGTTAGATGTCATCAGGATAAAGCTGGATCCATGTCACCCGACAGTAAAGAACTGGAGGAATTTTGCCAGCAAATGGGGCATGTCCTACGACGAACTGTGTTTCCTGGAGCAGAGGCCCCAGAGCCCCACCTTGGAGTTCTTGCTGCGGAACAGTCAGAGGACAGTAAAGCAGCTCATGGACCTCTGCAGGCTCTACCATCGGGCCGACGTGGAGAAGGTCCTGAGGAGGTGGGTGGACGAGGAATGGCCCAAGAGAGGCCGCAGGGACCACCCCCAGCACTTTTAGAGCACTCCTCTTGCCGCTGCTGGCCTCTTCGGACATTGAAACTACCCCAGATCAAGGACAAATGCTCATCTGTTCCTTTTTATGAGTTGAGAATAAGGACATGGAACAGAGGACATTTTTTTTCTCCCCTAAGCAGGTGGTTTTGTGGAGGGGTAGGCTCAAATTTGGTGGTGGATTTTTGGTTTTGCACATGTTTTTATTTAATATCTCAATCTGGAATCGGGGAGAAAGTATTTTCTTGGTTCACATAGGAGTGAAGGCTCCAATCAGAATGGATTTGTGCCATTTTGAACTGAACATTATTCTCACTCTTAAGTGTTGTTAAAGATTTCAACAACATAAAGTCTGAAATCGTTGATGGCCCCAAACAGTCATCACCCCCAGACCCTTCATGGTCAGTGGCACTCCCGCAACTAGGAAGAAAACAAACTGGGACAACGTGCTTTGTCTGTCTGTCTGTCTGTCTGTCTGTCTGTCTGTCTGTCGTGTCACTGTTTAGTTGCTCTCAAGTACTTCGTAGTACGTGGTGATTACCTTCATGACGTATGTACAGCCTTCCTTTTTCAAATGCTCTTATAATCTGTGCATGATCAAAAATGTCGTTTGCTTAAGTGTTTTTAAAAGAAATACAAAATTCAGTGATCGAGAAGATAGAGTGATGGGAATGGTGTTTGACAAAGAGAGTACTTTGTTACCTTTTTTTAAAATTTCATTTAGTATTTCTTTTTACATCTTTTATATAAGGCAGGTGCTTCACTCCTGAAAGGAATCTCAGGTAATAAATAAAAATCAGCTGGGCTCTGCGGCGCTCTGAGATAATATACTGGAAAGACAGGTAGATTTGAACGATGGTTTGAACCGCAAGGTTGATGGTTCAAGCTCACCAGCCACTCTTCAGAAGCCTTATACAGGGTCACTATGAGTTGGAATTGACTCGACGGCACTTAACAACCACAACAGCCCCTGATATTTGAACTTAAAATTGGATACAATAATACTGCACAACATTTTAGCTATGAAAGGGAATCTTTTGGCAACAGTTTAGAAAATTAAAGCATTTGTTCAGTTTGGAGAGATTTTGCATAAATCTCTGATTAAAATAAATAAACATAATAATGTTTGCTAGAGTACACCAGAAAGCTCTGGTAGCTTAGTGGTTAAGAATTGGGCTGTGAACCGCAAGGTCAGCAGTTTGAAACTACCAGCTGTTCCATGGGAGAAAGATGAGGCTTTCTGCTCCCGTAAAGATTTACAGCCTTGGAAACCCTGTACAGGGTCGCTATGAGTCGGAACCGACTCCACGGATACACCCAAAGATATTGCTACAACATCATAGAAATTTTTATTCAACAGGAATCTAAAAATGTGCAGCCATTGTTTCTTGACACATCCAACATGTAGGTTTATACATTTCTGAAGGCAGTGTTTCCATCTAGTGCTGTCGGATAAGCGCTGAACTGCTAACGACAAGGTTGGCAGTTCAAACCCACCAGCCACTCCTTGGAAACACAGTTGCCAAGAGTCAGAACCAATTGGTGTGGCACTGTGGGTTAATGCACCAGACTGAAAAATTGGTGGTTCAAGCTCACCAGTTGTTTCTCGGAAACCCTGTGCTATGGATCAGTACCAACTCGATAGCACTTAACAATTCTTTCCTGAAAAATTTTGTGTTTTTCAATTTACACATCAAAACAACAGTTTTGACATCCTTAAGGGGTTCAAATTGTGTTTCTTTGAAATATTCTTGCCCCTTCAGACAAAAAGAAGTCTGAAGGGGCAAGACCAGGGTTGTAGGGTGGATGGGATAAGGTTGCTGTCCTGGCAGACTGCACAGGTATATTGTTGATACTCCTCAGGACCACTTCCTGGACGTTTCTGACAAGTGCAGCTTTTCATTTTCTTAAAACTTCTTCCTAAAAAGCCCTAGTGATCAGTCTGTGTCCTTTCAGAAAATCTGCCAAGACAGCCCCTTTGAAATCCCAAAAGAGTTCAAGCTCATCAGTCGCTCCTTGGAAACCCTATACAGGGTCGCTATGGGTCGGAATTGACCTCGACAGCGCTTGACAACAATAACTCAGTTTACTGAGTTTACCTCTCTGCTTTGAATTCATCTTTGAGGTATTCTTGATTGTCCTTAAAAACAACCGACCCATTTAAAAACTTGTTTTATGTGGGGCAGCATTCCCATAAATTTATTACAAACTACTTCAATGGTTTGGGAAGCTGTCCAGTGGAGTTTGTTAAAAATTTGGTATTCTGACCTCTAAACCACTTTTTTCCCTTGACTGCACCTAAGACACAGACAAGTGTATTACTGAGGGAACTTGCCTAGAGCCATCCATGGATCAGAGACATGTTTAAACACGTTTATTTGGAATAAACCCATGCATGTATGAACTGGAACCCTAGTAGCAATACTTTTTGACTCACCCTCATAAAATCAGCTTCACCATCAAATGGAACCATTATGCAAGCAAAATCTATATATTTACTCATAACTTCGGATTCAGTATTAATCACATCCTGCTCATTTTGCATTGTCAGATATGTCAAAAAGATGTATTTAAAATAGCTAGTAATAAAATGTAGATTTAAAGCAAAAATAGACCGCTTTGCAAGTTGTTCAGTGAGGTAGCTATTAAATGTTTATAGCCTGTCGCTTGTCAGGAGAGTCCCAACCCTCTGCCAGCATCCAGTGGCGTGGATGCCCACCCGTGGCAACCTTACATGTGTCCTAGAATTCCGCTCGAGTTTTCAGTGGCTAATTTTTTGGAAGTAGACCGTCAGGCCTTTCTTCCAAGGTGCTTCTGGGTAGACTAAAACTTTGTGGCTTTTGGTTAGCAGCCTGTACCTAACCATGACCCCTTTGTTGTTGTTGTCAGGTGCCATCGAGTCAGAACCGACTCATAGCGACCCCATGCACAGCAGAATGAAACAATGTCCGATCCTGGGC